TTCGGGTACAAGAAAGCCATTCGACTTTAATTCGACTCTAAAAAAGTCTGATTCGAACGGAAATTATTCAAAACAACTTAATAGTTTTCGTCTGTTGACAGCTGAAAGCTTGCGTTAGAATGAAAATTCAGTTTGGAGAGTGGGGTTTACCCAATGGTGTAATTATCCATTGAAGTTAACAAGCTTTTTGAATGGTATATTTCTATATGTCTGGTGTAATTGCTTAAAAATTGTATATTTATTTAGGTTAGGTTTTTGGGTGGCTATCGGGCCTGTTTCATTGTGATTTCTTCAGATATATTGTAGGCTAATAAGGCTATTCCAGAGCTGTTAACTTCGGGAATCATTTTAGGGCATATATTCATAGGAACTTTTTGGGTCTTATTTTTTTTATTTTAGGTCTTATTTTTATCCGTAGAATCAGTGACCAAATATTAGTATATACTATTATAATTAGAATAGAATTATATAAGGATTCTTGCCACTTAACTGCTTATATAGACATTTAATCCTACGCTGTGTTTGTCATGATGCGGATAAACCTGCTCTCACTACCGGTTTCGGAGCCCTACTCCATCATCAGGTGAGCTTGGGTAGATCCACAAAATGACAACCACAGCGTAGAGATAGTTAATTCCGACTTTTTACCATCCTTTTACTATCGATAGCCGGCGCCCCGGTGGTACGAAAGTACTACCATTGTACGCAGGCCGCTATCTCCCGTTCGGGACTTAATATCTAACCGACACTTTTCGACAAGTCGGAATTAACTATCTCTGCGCTGTGGTTGTCATTTTGTGGATCTGCCCAAGCTCACCTGATAATGGAGTAGGGCTCCGAAACCGGTAGTAAGAGCAGGTTGATCCACATTATGACAAACACAGCGTAGAATTAAATTTCTTCTTATAAAAATGAAATTCCTACACCCTGTATCTCCGAAACTAAGCAGTTAAGTAGCAAGAATCCTTATATAATTTTATTATATACCTATACTGCAAGAAATTTGTTTTCTATATTATAATTAGATACACTATTTCTTTAACACCCTGTATACTTAAACTGACTTGCAAATGACGATAGATGATATTAACCATTTTCCATTTTTTTGTCCAATGTATTTGTATAATAAGATAAATAGAAAAATAATGAAGTAAACTGTCATTGTTGAAGTAAAATACAGGGTGGTCCCAACTGTATTCGGGAAACTTCGGCAGAGCATATTCTGCAGATAAAAGTAAGTAAAAAAGTTCGTATAAATGTATGTCCTAAAATGCTTAATTTCGGAGTTACAGGGTGTAGAAGTGTCATTTTTATTTCGATTTTTTCCAAATAATTTCTGAAGTAACGTAAATATTCGAATGAAATTGGTGTCTGGGAGTTTTTTGGCATGAGAAATTTGATTATGATGTCAATGTGACTCCTATCTGGAGGGAGTTTTGAAGAGTAATAATTTTTCTTCCGTACCTGTATAAAACTACTGAGTGAAAAAAATTATATTTCCGTCATTATTTACGTAAAAAATGTCTCTTGGTCAAAATCAGTACGAGCAACCGTTCTCAAGATATTTAGAATGGAATTAGTCAATATATGTCATTATTGATAAAAAAATAAACACCTTGAGTAGATAGTTATTTGATTGAAATAATAAATTTGGGAAATTTTTTTTATAAATTATCATAAATTTTTCTGCGACAAAATGATGATAAAACAGTTTCTGTTAAACTTTTGACACAAAAAATTTCAAATTTATAATTTGACTCTAATAACTATTTAGTCAATATGTTTAATTTATGTCAATGATGACAGGTATTGATCATTTCGGTTCCAATCTCGAGAACTATTACTAGTAGCGATTTTGACCAAGAGATATTTTTTGCGTAAAAACTGTCGTAAATGTATATTTTTTTTTAATCAGTAGTTTTATACAGGTACGGAGTAAGGAGATATATTGATATCAAAATCAAATTACTCATGTCAAAAAACTCCCAGATACCTATTTTGATCGAAATATTTACGTTACTTCATAAATTATTTGGAAAAAATCGAAATAAAAATGAAGTTTCTACACCCTGTATCTCCGAAACTAAGCATTTTAGGACATTTATATGAACTTTTTTCTTATTTTTATCTGCAGAATATTCTTCCGAAATTTCCGGAATACAGTTCGGACCACCCTGTATAACAATAGTTACTCTTAAAATAATAATTTCAACATTATAAAGAAGTGTTCCTCATAAACCAAAAGATTGTGAAAAAAACAGAAATAAATCTATGTTAGTTTTTTCACAATCTTTTGACAAAAAATTACTTGATTTGGTATTTTTAGATTCCCAAAAATGTTTAATAGTTAATAAATATCTCAAAATTAAAAAAAAACGATATGTACAAATAATAAACATACTTGATGAAATCTTATGATTTTATAATGATGAAGGTGAACGAATAGTTCAATTAATATACAGGAAGATGAATAACCCGTGACGCTCACCATAATTAAATTACGCCAGTGATTAATAATCATGCGTGTATTATTATACAAAATTAAATAAGAATATAGAAAAATAAATGTATAACAATGTGATCAAAGATAATGAAACAGAAAAAAACTTAGCTATTAAAGATATTTTAGTTTAATTAAACATATATCCTATTAAGTTTAGTATTTTCCTAAAAATCGCTCTTGCTATTTTATTTTTATAAGCAGAAATTTTCTTCCTTTACCTAGACTCAAAAAGGAATTAAATTTCAACAAGCCTTTTTTCCGTTCTTATTACATACACTTAGGGCTTTATTCTAAACTGAACAACGACAAAGCTGTTTTAATCTCGTACATGAACCCTTCCAGGCTTAATTTTCTTGTGTGCGCTTCGCCGCTACGGCTTTCTATGTAGACGTAACGAGTGCCAACGTAGAAATATCATCATACAGGTACAGACGGATTTTTTTGCGGTAAAAGCACAGAAGATGTAACAGTATAAAAGAAATATTCGATAAGATTTAATGAAACGTTTGGATTATATTATATATCGTATGATCAAAAAAAATAGCCGTCAAGGTGACTTGGAAATAACGATAGAGGATATTAACCATATTCCATTTTTTTTTTGTCCATTGTATTTGTATAATAAGATAAATAGGAAGATAATAAAGACAATTGTCATTGTTGATGTAAAATACAGGGTGGTCCGAACTGTATTCCGGAAGCGTTGTCAGCATATTCAGGAGATACAAATAAGTAAAAAAGTTCGTATAAATGTATGCCCTAAAATGCTTAGTTTCGAAGATAGAGGGTGTAGAAGTTTTATTTTTATTTCGATTTTTTCCAAATAATTTCTGAATTAACGTCAATATTTGGATGAAAATTGGTGTCTGGGAGTTTTTTGGCATGATCAATTTTATTTTGATGTCAGTATGACTCCTACTTGTAGAGGGCGCCACATACATATTTTTTAACTGGTGTGAAAAGAAATAAATTTTCGTCCGGACCTGTGTAAAATTACTGAGTAATAAATATACATTTACGAAGGTTTTTATGTAAAAAAGGTCTCTTGGTAAAAATCACTACGAGTAATAGTTCTCGAGATATTTGGAATCGAAATTTTCAATACCTGTCATAATTGACGTAAATTAAAAAACTTGACTAAATAGTTATTAGACTGAAATCATAAATTTGAAATTATTTTGTGTCAAAAGTTCAACAGAAACTGTGTTATCATCATTTTTTCAAAGAAAAATTTATGATTAATTTAAAAAAATAAAAAGTTCTCAAATTTATTATTTCAGTCAAATAACTATCTATTCGACATGTTTATTTTTTGTCAATAATGACATGTATTGACTACTTCTATTCAAATATCTTGAGAACGGTTGCGATTTTTACTACAAGATATTTCTTAAGTAAAAAAAGTTTTATACAGGTACGGACAAAAAGTTATTATTCTTCAAAACAGTTAAAACACATGTAGGTGACGCCCCTACAAATAGGAGTCGTATTGACATCAAAATCAAATTTCTGTGTGGCTGTTTTATTGATGGATTTAATTTAAGTTTTATTTTCGTCTTTTTTGAAAATTTAAATATAAACTTGTTTTTAAAAAAGTTTTAATAATTTAAATATTTAAATAGGGTACAGCGTGAAATTTAATATTATTATAGAGCACTAAAGATATAGAGCAATATTAATTTAAAAAATCTCGATTTTAAAAACTTCTAGTTTATAATAATTATATATTTGTATATTCTACCTAAAAATAAGATAAGATTATATATCTTATCTGATTCTTAATAAAAGTTTATAAATTACTATTAAAGGATATTCGTAAAATAATATATTTAGCCTTATAAAGAAGTGCGTCTCATAAAACAAGGTCCAACGATATATGAATTTTTTTCTCGATTTTGTTCAAAGTAAGTGGCTGTCAGATGTCATATTTTCCGCTCTATATGTAGACGCCTGGTAGTAAAGGTAAAATTCCACCAACTAAACGCGCAAAGACTGTACACTTAGTCACGATACCATGAAAAAACACTTACGGCTTTTATTTCGATAAAATTGGCCTAATATAAATCGCTGGATCGAGAATTGAAGATAAGTTCGGACCATCGTAAACGTAGAGATTTTTATGTGGTTTTTCACGACTAAACGTTATTATGAATTAAAACTATGGGTTTGGTCTCATACATTTAAATATTCTCGTAGAAATTTATATATTACATTGATGTTCTCACGATATTTGTACAAATGAGAGAAACACTAAAAATTTTTGTTTCTTGGATATATTTTCTTCTCATTTTAAACTTTCTGCTTCTAAGTTCTCTTTAGAGCTTAAAGAATTTTCGTACAATTGGTTAATGATTTCTTTTAGTTTCAAGTTTTATTTACATATGAAGAGCTATTTAGAAACAAAAAATTTGACAGTGCTTCATTAAAAAATAATAAATAGGAGTCTTGATAATATTCAAGTGTGGAACATGTTAAATTAGGTGGTAGTGGTACTTACTTAAGTAATACTTCTAGCGTAGACTGTCTTATCATACAGCATTGAAGTACTGGTGCCAATATTGACACTTCGTCGTGGTAAGGCTTACCGAAGCCTCGCCCATGGTCCAGATGTAGAGTAAAAGTATTGTTACCAAATAACCTAAAATAAAGTTGTCCAAACCTTAAACAAATATTATTAAGTAAATCGAAAATTATAAAATGTATAAATAGGTAGATATATATTTTATTGATTTTTTTTTTTTTTTTTTTTTTTTTTTTTTTTTTTTATTTCTTTTCTTTTTTTTAAATTCTTTTTTTTTTTTTTTTTTTTTCATTATTTTTTTTTCCCTTTCTTGGGTATGAGGTTTTTTTATTAAATTGAAAATGGAAACATTTTTTTCTGTATTTTCATTGTTTCGCCTCATCATGGTGGGCTTTCTCGGGCACTTTATTCTTGAAGCCGCAGCCGCCTTTCTACCACCAGTCTATATAGAAGAATGTAAGTGAATGATACACACAGATTAATAAACAAAAAACCTCCATACCCAAGAAAGAAAAAAAAATGTTATATTATTGGCACCTTAAAACAGTCACTCAATTTGTAAATTGAGAACACTACTACAAAACTAGGTACTAGTTTTAGTGTCTACAACATCTTACTGTTCAATTGTCTTTGAGGAACATACAAACACGAACATGACTCTCCGAGAAGTAGCTCAAGACGCTGAGCCTCGTTGACTCAAAGCGGTCAAGGTTTTTGTGGGTGTATACATTTGGCGCCCAACGTAGGGCTTGGGCAAAAAAAGAAAATAAGATTTAAAGTCTTCTTAAGCACAGTAAAAGTTACACATAGTATTTAAGTTCGGAAAAATGTCCGCTAGGGGGCGTTTTCTTTGATAAGCCATCAGAAAAAAATATTGCATGTGAACAGGTATTTTAAATATTACTATTGATAATCATCGAGAAATTGTATTTTTTGATATAGGAGTATTTTGCTCTATCTCATAAAATTGTTGTAAAGTTGTGGGGGAAGGGTATTTATTAAAAGATAAGGTTAAACTTGTTTGGTAGGTCGATTTAAAACAACAACTAGGCTCATTTAAAAAGTTTTTTTTCCTTAATGATCTCCAGTTAATTAATTTTGTTTCCATAATTTTTTTTTCGTGTAGCTAGAGGGCTGCGCTGTTTGACACCATAACAGATATTGCCCTTTTGCATAAAACATTTTACAATAGGAGGGCCTATATCTTCTCTTTTGCTACATTAAATAGAGCACAAAGTTCCCAAATATTAGCGCAAACCGCAACTTTACTATCTTTTCTTGTTAATCGGAGATAAATAAAATATATAATATATTATTACATAAATTCCATGATATACATAAATTTGGAGTGCATAAGAAAGAAACTCAATCATATTGAGATCTAGACCTTTTATCTAAAGAAAAAAACATTCGACCAATGTGTTTGTGTACTACCAGTCATGGACCTATGCATGCGAAACCTGGACACTTTAAATGGATATTATAAGGAAGCTGCAGTGGCGCAATTCTTCGATGGAACAAAAATATGCTGGAAAAGCATATGGAGAGTGGATATGACAAAAGACTCAGGTAATTGTCATTCACAGAATGAAATCCCAGAAGTGGCAATGGATAGAACACCTGCGCCAAGAAGAACAAACAACAGAAGACTCACAGCATTACCAGTAGCATACAACAGACAAATTACAGCATTGTACTAGAAGAGGACCAAAGAATAGAACCAAACCAAACCTGAGATGGGACCACTATATTAGGAAATTATCAAGTATAACTTGAGCCCGCATAGCCAACGCAACAGGACAAACAATGGCGTCCAACTACAAGAAGATTATTTAAATTATTGTGAGGGGATGCTACACCATAATTAGGAATGGTTCAATAAGCTGAAAAAGATGATTGATGATGGTGACCCCAAGATCGTACTCCACAACGATCGAGACCTCGAAATCGGTAGACTATGGCAAAACAAACAAACAAACATATTGACAAAACATACGACAAAACTAAAGCTTTGTCGTATAAAACTCGTTGCAGCCTTTTGTACTTTAATAACCACCACCCTTGACGCTAAAATCTGAAAATTCTTAGGGCTGTTGTGGAAATTTATTCTGAAATGGGACATACATATGAACGCTTGTCGAAAAAATGACTGTGCCTGTTTTGCATTAAGGTCTGTTTCTAAGGAGCTTAACTTTGTCAGTGGCTAGAACTGTTTATTATGCCCTTTTTGAGTCGCACCTCAGGTATGCCCTTCCATTCTGGGTACGTGTTGTTGCGACTCAATTTGACCGAATTTTCAAGCTCCAGAAGAGAGCTGTTCGATAATCACTGGGACTAAACAGCAGAACAGAAACTCATTGCCGGGACTCCTTTTAAAGAATTAAAAAATATTGACTCTTCCTTTCTTATTGTATATTGAATCCGTTTGCCTAATACGTAAGCATGTCTCAGCTTCCTCAAGAAAGGCCATCTCACACTTATCCACTCAGGAACACGGAGCAAGATCTCTATCTACCTACCCCACGCTCAGAGTTAGTTAAAAGTTCATATTATACAACTCGAAAAAATGCACAATCACCTGCCATTTGAAATCAAATCCATACATCATTTTTTCATTTTCGCAAAGCATTGAATCTTATTTACTAGACAAAACTTTCTACACCGTAAATGAATTATATTTTGAAATCGAATTTGATCTCTGTAAACACTGGTCTAATGGTTTGCTATTGCTATTATTTACTAATGACATCGAAAAATTAAAATTTATTTAGAGGTCAGTGATATTTTTGCTATAAACTAAACTAAATATTTTTGAACTATTATTTTTTATTTTTCTTTGACATTGTAAACATTTAGTAAATGTTCATTTTAAAACAATAGACACTAATATTATTTGGTATAATGTTTTGTATATCTTCTTGTTTGTTTTTGATGTTTACCTTGATTTTTTTACTTTGTTTGTTAGTTTACCTTTGTCTACAAATTGAAAAAATTTTGGAAATTTTTTTTTTTTTCTTTCGACACAATTAAAGTATTTAATATTTCACTTAAAAAAATATTTTTTACTTAATTTATTTTTTTTTTTTGAGAAATTATAACATGAAAATACTGTTGATGTTTTTCTTCATTAAAATCATGTTTTTTATTTGCACCAAGTTAACGCCAAATATTAAACGGTTAAATCAAAATACCTTTTACTACTCTTATTTCACTGATAACGTTCGCGAGTCTTGACATCGAATCTCATGCTGTAATATCCTCGAATATCAAAACATATTACTGGAGCGAAGTTTCCGGGCGTGCTAATTATATTATTGATAAACTAACGGCGCGTTAACGTCAACGTATCCCAACTTTCGCGGCCATGTCGACCGTTAATATTAAAGAGTGTTAAAGTTGGGCCGACTCAAATGCATAATGAACACAACTCGCCGAGGAAGTTGTTTAACAGTCTTGACAGATTCAAATATAGTGGGACCAACAGCGGGGCGGGAGATTCTCTCGTAAACTTTACGCTTAACGAGTACTTGTTCGCTACACAAACTTATTGAAAGGAAACTTAATATTCTGTTTACAGTTTAATATTTTATGTATTTTTATTATATGTTTGAGATGAAACAGACATAAGAAGTAATGTATCTGTCTAAGACGGCTGGGGAATGACAATCGATACTTTCGGCGAGTCAATCTCTAGACGTAATTTACTAAAATTGACATAACACTTGTCACTGGAGATTAAGATAGAACGAGACACAAATCTATATTTGATATTAATTAAACTTTTAGTTACGTAATCGAGAGCGCGATTTTAAATTCGTTCTTGCCAACCATAAGATATATTCGGCGTCGGGCTGACTAACTGGAATTTAATTTTTTCGCTGGGGATTCAGGTGGTAGCTCTCCTGTAAAAAATGTCCAGATGCCACATTTATCTATTAATTTCCTGACATTGTCATTCGTTTTGACATTTAGTTTTTGTACTGGTTTAGTTGCAGCGCAGTCGAACATTGTTCTTTTGGAAGCCTCTTTCGTTGCAGGGTAATACCGGATAGCTTAATAGCCGTAAAAACTCATCGCAACTTTATTAGAATATTTTGAACGAGAAAGCGGTAGTTTGGTTTGTCCCTTAAGTTCTGTTAAATAGGTCAGTTTTGTTGATGTAGCCAGATAACAACTGTTTTATATATTTATAACTAATTTATTTTGTTTTAAAAAAAAAAACTATTTTTTATTAAAAAGAAAATATGTAAAAGGGGGCAACGCTGTGCCGGTCAAGCTTAATCACTGACGTGGATAAATGGTGTTGTTGATATTGTTGCGGACCCGTGTGAACTCGACCTAACCTAACTATATGTTCTGCCCTCAGATGACCTTAACATCGCACTAAAGAATAGACACCGTAATCATTCATTCAAGTTTCGAGAAGAATCGAGTTCCACTGGAATGGAGTAGTACATACGTGAACAATCGAAACCTTCTCTATGCACCTAACGATCTATGACTATTCGAGAAATCTTTAGCTGTGGGTATAAAGCCGGCGGCAGTGGCCTAAAGAGGGCAGACATAAATAGACGAAGAGTACAGTTAGACGCTAAAATTCAAAATAAATTCTTCTAGATAAATAGTTATAAATCGTTTGTAAATAGTTCTTTAAGTCTTTTTATCGTTATTGTTTCTGTTAATTAGTGTTAAATAAATAGTGTTTAAATAGATTGTGACTTTCTATCCACGCGGAACCGACGAAAAACGCTATCAATGAACTATATTTAATTACATTAGTAAGTTTTACTATAGATTTCACACCAATTTACTAGTTATAACGCAATTAAAATGATAATTGACATTTGCAACCGGGCAATCATTTGACAAACTAATTTTAGATTCATTTAAATTCATACAAAAAATAAAAAAAGTAAAAAAAACAATCACTACCGAATAAATCAATATAAACAAATCCGAACAAACTACATCAGGTCCAATTTATACAAACTTGCAATTTTTAAATGCAATTTTCTCAAAAAAACGTTTTCAATTCTAGGATAATCAAGCGCTATTTATTTATTTTTGACGGTAATAGTAAAAAAAGTCATCTAGGTATTGTAGAGATTAAAAAAATTACAAGTCAGTTTTTTCATGAGTTACGTGTTATTACACGTAAATCAATGAGCTATTTTTGATTAAGTAATTTAACCACTCTTATGACATCTTTAAACAACAGTTCACAAAAGGCATATATAAAAGAAAGACCCGTTTAAGACGGGATAACATATTTCATAACACGAATACCGCCGAAAAACGAGGCAAATTTTTCATATATGGCATTTGTTCCTAAATATATAAAAAATACCGCCGTTCGTTGGTATATTTTAGTAAAAAAAACAGTACTTATTTAAAAAAAAGTACTGCCCTTATTTTATTAAATTTTATGTATTATTGCTTTTCCCAACGTAAGTCAATTATAATATAATATAATAAGTAATTTGTGACGAAAACGTTATTTACACGAAATTTAATAAATCATTGACTCTAATTTTTGTTACAATACACCCAAACATGCATAGGACTAAAAAAAATAGAAAAAAAAAGTTTAAACATTTCTATGTTCATAGAAACTCAAATTTGTACAAATCTTCGGGAAACTCATAAAATAAATTAGGAGTACCAATTATTAAAACAAAATTTTTTTTTTTTTTTTTTGTGTAAAAAATAAGATTTGAGTATCTTTTAAACGGTTAACTTAACTTAAATGACTACACCCTTTTGACATTACCACTTATGGCGGTGTAAGATGTACATCAATAAATAGTAAATAATCTATAATAGCAGCAGAATATCCATAATGGACTAGTTTTTGCCAATATGTAATAAGCAAAATAAGCTATTAAACAAATAAATCAATTAATTACTAAAATATTAGTTATTAAATTAGAAATAAAACGTAAAATCTTTAAAAATGATAATATATTGTTTGTCACTCTTAAATTAAAAGTTCATCTCTCTTAAATCCATCACAATCTGGCAGCGCTGTCGCCATCGCTTGTCACTCAAAGTTGATCACGTCCATCGAAATCGTTTTTGCATTACTATATGTTTTTTCTTTCTAATAATAAGGAAAAAATAGAAAACAGAAAAGTGGAAGACCTTCCTGTTAAAATTAAGAGCTTATACTTCATAGTTTGTTGAGGTGACTATCAACGTTTTATTTAAAGTTTAAAGTGAAAAAAAGTAGTCGATTTTTTTTATCCACCCTACTGTTTTGATTAGCCCTAGCAGCATAAAGAAGACGTTTAAACTAAATTTTAAATCTTTATTTTCCTATCTAAAAAACCGTCCAGTAAACTCGACTCACCTAAAAGTCTCGTAGTGGTGCCGGTCCATGTTCCCAATAAGGAAATCGAACACGGCCATGTCCATGAGGTCGAGCAGCCGCCGACCCTTGTCGTAGGGGGGGATCTCGCGCACCATTTGACAGTAGTTGGGGTCCGTCTCCCATTGAGCTTTCCGCCTCTTGTGGTAGGAGCGGCGCCACGGATGTCTCCATACCTGCAAATAAATCGTACGTAAGGGGATTGAGCAGGTGATTTATAGGTTGGGATGAGACTGTGCAGATCCTCCGGACCCTTTTTTAGTCCCTTTCCCTTGTTATTTTTTTTTGCATAATGGGGGGGATGAGATGTTTCGAGGAGGGATTTCGGAGAGAAAACATAAACTGTTTAAAATGTTGCTGGGCGTATTTTACAGCAAATTTTTACATCGTTTATATAAAATATTATCAGGGAGTTGTTTCATACTATTTTATTTATTTTTAAATAAAATATAATATATCTACATATGGAGTGGTCAGAATTAAAATGGATCAAGTCCTATTTCCTACTATTTTAAGATAATCTCGTTTTTATACGTTTATAAAATATCGTTTTTTTTTCAGTAGAAAAGTTTTTTAAAAGAAAAAGCTAAGAAAGTAGTTTTTTTTAGTTCTAAACATTAGCACGTGTGTTAAAATCGCACACAACTTTAAATTTTATGGACTTGCTCCAGTTCACTTCTGAAAGAAATCAACACAATGTTCAGAAACTGCTTAATGCATGAAGTATGATTTCATTTCATCAATTCATTTCATTGATGAAATGAAGTCATACTTCATGCATTAAGCAGTTTCTGAACATTATGTTGATTTCTTTCAGAAGTGAACTGGAGCAAGTCCATAAAATTTAAAGTTGTGTGCGATTTTAACACAAGTTCTAATGTTTAGAACTAAAAAAAATTGTGTTGTTGATCTGCATAAAATTGCACCAAGAAGAAAAATATTATTTCAAATTGACGTCACATAACACACTCTAAGAGGCAACACATGAAGGATCTTCTTCCCTTTATCCCGCCTATATACCATAATTTTTATACAAATCGGAGGAAACATTATTAATAGAAAATGTGAAATCAACAAATCCCTCAATGACGAAGAAGAATGTACCGATGTACAAATTTATATCTAAAATTTCAAATATTTTCAAAGCTAAAATGGTTCAAGTTCAAAAAAGTATAAACAAGCATTCTTAAAAATGGCCACAATTTTATTTTGAGTTATTTTAGTTTGCATATATACAATTTAAAATATATTAAAGCGTTGTGACAAGTTTTCTCCTCCAGTTTCTTTTATTTTAATTAAGTAACATTAAAAAACGTTAACTCTCATTTTCTCCATAATTATCTTGTCCAACTATCTTATCTAAATTGTCTTGGATTTGTCCTGCCAAATTTGTCTTAGATTTTTAGATTTTAACGTTTTCTCTTTCTCTTTCTCTTTCTCTTTCTCTTTCTCTTTCTCTTTCTCTTTCTCTTTCTCTTTCTCTTTCTCTTTCTCTTTCTCTTTCTCTTTCTTTTTCATTCTCTTAAAAAATAATCTGTATTATAAGATATTTTCTTAGTTTTTATCGTTCTGAATTAATAGTTCTAAAATAACTTGATTTAAACACTTTAAATGAACATTCATGTTTATACGACATACTTTTTCTAGCATAAAAGTGCTAAATCTGAAAAAGACTTTCTATTATTTAATTTCCTCTTAAGAATGATTTCGATAAAATGTAAAAAGAAAGATTAGTTTGAAAAGGCTGGTTAAAATATTAAGTTACATAAAGTAAAAAAGATCTGGGCAGGTATTTTAAAAACGAACAATTCAGTTCCTAATGAGATAATTTAACGGGATTTAGTCACTGTGAAGGGAAAATGGCTTTATTAAGATGCTGAAAAGACTTTTAAGAACGTTTGTTCATTATTACCAACAATAAAACTATAAAAGTAAGAAGTCCATTATAGAAGTCCAAATATCTTCAAAGTATTACATTATTTTTAACAGTTATGGATTTCAGATTTATTTAACAAGAAACAAGCATTTTGAAAATAGCTAAATTATTTTTATGTTGTAGTTGATTTCGCTATATGGTATTTCATATACAGGATGATGTGAATTGTATTTGGAAAATAGCATATTCTGTAGATTAAAATAAGTAATAAAATTTGCGCCGGGAGGCACGTATAGCCACCCATACTAAAATATGTTAATAACAAGTCGGTAGGCAGTTCTTTTAGTTTCAAAGTAAAGGAATTTTTCCAATTTTGGTCGGCGGTTATTTCCCCTATCCGCCACCTGGGGTCGCGTCCGATGGGAGTTTGGAGTTCTCCACACGGATTTTCTCAAAAACTGCGACTTTGACTGATTTTGATGTTATTACAAATTTTGTTGCAAACATTATTCCTAATCTTAAATTGAAAACCGCGTTTTGCTAGCTACTGTAATTTTGAAGTTACTATTTTTTAAAAATTTTAACCCCCTCCCATACCCCTCCATACCCCCTTCCATACCCACCCAGCCACCCCCTCCCATACCCGCTCCCATACCCCTTACCAACCCCCACCAAAAGTAATGGCCAGATTATCGGGTGCCACAGTATTTTATTGCCAAATTTGGTTAAAAATCGGTTTTAGCGGTTTTTGAGTCCCATCGTATTTACAGACGGACAGACGGACAGACGAACACCGCAAAAATATTTTGTATTTAGGTCATTTATGACCAAATAACTCATTTTAGGTGAATTTAAAAAAATACCGCTTTTAATGAAAACACCATACCTGTTGGTTTTGGTTTTGGTCGGCTTAAAATTTATAAATGTACGTCCTAAAATACTTCATTCGGAAAAAGGAATTTCCGAATGAAAAAAGCAGAATGAAATTCGGAACAGGATGTAGGAGTTTCATTTTTATGTATTGGTTCTCAAAATATTCGGAAGCGAAATAATCAATTGAAAATATTGGCAAAAAAAATCGAAATAAAAATAAAACTTCTACACCCTGTAGTAACAAATATGAGAGATAAAAAATATCATTAAAGATATAAAATATTATTAAGATAAAAAAAGTTTTTAGCTAGATATTTTATTCAGGATCGTTGACAGTTTAAAGCGGATTACAAAATGTTCAGATCGAAATAACTTTCAAGCACACTTGTCGATCGACAACGATTCTAACGTGTTCGAAGTAGGTTTGCCACTTTTCTGTCATCTCCTAATGCCGCCTCTCACGGAACTTCGCAAATATATATCGTTCGTAAACAAGCTGGAAAATCCGATAAACTCGACACATATACTTACTTTAGTTTAATTTGACATAATATACGGCGATAAAGAGTTTTCACGTGCAGAAACAATTCGAAATATTACTTATTTTTATTTTTTATGTTATATTTATAATACGTGTAAGATTTAAGTATACATGTTTAGTTTATTTTATAGCTAATCTATTTAAGTTTAGTTTTGTTCATTTAATTGAAATTAAGCAAAATAAATCTCTACAGCTCTGACTTTTATCATAAGAAGGCTAAAGAACTTTTTTTCAGTCTAGATACTTTAAATTTACTATTCTTTGCATAATATGTTGTATGGTCACCAAATTATCAGTTTCATGTCGATAATATACAGGCTGTATATTTCTGTATTAGGCTGAGAAAGAGAAAGAGAAAGAAAAAGAGAAAGAGAAAGAAAAAAGAAAAAAGAAAGAAAAAGAAAAAGGGAAAGAGACAGAAAGAAATACCGTTAAACTCTAGAAATCCAAGTCAACTCTGGTTTGACAGTTTCTATATTTCTCTTACCCAAATAGCACATTTAAAACAAGTTTCAATAACTTTATCAAACTTTATTTTAACAATTTATATCAGTCTCGACTTGAGAAAGTCAACCTACCAACAAATAAATCAATTAACATTAATAACTGATAACGTGCGCTTTGAAAAAAAGAACATTAAATGTAAATTATGGGAGTTTGAGTACGTGCGGCGTTTCTAAAAATCCCTTTATCGGGCAAAGTTAAATTGTGTTTCTGGATTAATCGAAAATTATTTGCTTTTTTCGTCCCGAGCGGAGGACAAAAAACTTGCTCAAAAACAAGGGACTCGTTACTGCCATAAATCAAATAACCGAATGACCGGGAATTGTGCCGAATGCGTCCACCGGCCGCCGATTCAAAATTAAACAGCGTTTGTTTGTTTGTTTGTCGTGTCTTTTTTCACTAACTTTCAATACTATCGAGTTTCTTTTTGGGGAGATTTATTGTCGATTGTTTGGCAAAGGATTTCAAATTCGTAACGGGTTGTGTTATGAATTCTAATTCCTGTTATTGGAAATTTATTTTTTTAGTATATTTAAATTAAAAAACAATGTTTGTATTAGCAAAAGCTAGTTGAAGTTATTCCTTCATTTTGCGTTATACAGGGTGGTCCGAACTGTATTCCGTAAACTCCTGCAGCATATTCTGCTGATAAAAATTAGTAAAAAAGTTCGTATAAATGTATGTCCTAAAATGCTTAGTTTTGGGAGATACCGGGTGTAGAAGTTTCACTTTTATTTCGATTTTTTCCAAATAATTTCTGAAGTAACGTCAATATTTAGATGAAAATTGGTGTCTGGAAGTTTTTTGACATGCGGAATTTGATTTTGATGACAATATGGCTCCTACTTGTAGAGGGCGCCACCTACATAATTTTTATGTGGTTTGAAGAGTAATAACTTGTATGTTAACTGTATAACTGACATGTATTGACTATTTCCATTCAAAATATCTTGAGAACGGTTGCTCGTAGCGATTTTTACCAAGAGATATTTTTTACGTAAAAAGTCATGAGAATGAATATTTTTTTAGTCAGTAGTTTTATACATGTACGGACGAAAAGTTATTACTCTTCAAAACGCATGCCCCCTGCAAATAAGAGTCATTTTGACATCAAAATCAAATTTCTCATGTGACAAAACTCCTAGACACCATTTTTCATCCAAATATTGACGTTACTTTAAAAATTATTTGGAAAAAATGAAAATAAAAATGAAATTTCTACACCCCATATCTCCAAAAATACGCATTTTAGGCATACATTTATACGAACTTTTTTACTTATTTTTGTCTGCAGGATATGCTGCCGAAGTTTCCCGAATACAGTTCGGA